TGTGAGTTTAAGAAGAAGAAGAAGAAAGCGACAGTTGTAAATTATGAATTTCGTACGTTCTGCAAATGTGAAAGGGAATGATAGAATTTTTCTCATTGAATGAGTAATTGTTCAATAGCGTCTATCTACTTATTATTAGATGAAATGTTCTTTTGAAAGTGTGAGAAACTTTATTGATTGGTGCAAATCGCTTGGAGGTCACATTAGCTTTGTCAAATTTTTTAAAACATACTTACACACTATCCTGTATGAAAGGCATTGCGTTAATGTTCGGGTTCTTTCTTTTAAGTCTTATATCAACTTATGTCTGATGTACAGGGTCAGGGTTTCTAGTGCAGAGGTAAAATTAGTTGCAAAGTTAACCTCAATTATCCATCATTTGATATAAGTAAACGACATTCCTAACGGCATATTATCGTATTTTTTTACAGTAACTAAGCCAGGATTTATTAATTAAATTGAATTAATTAAATGTGTTTAGATATAATTCGAAGTAGTGTAGGGCGACAACATTTTCTTTAAATAAAAATCCTTGTAATTGTGACAATCAGTTATCAAATCATAATGTGAGAGATATAGAGCTAGGACTACAAAACAAGTAAGAACATTATAGTCAAGCAAGGCCGTCTATTAAATACCCTACATCGCATTGTCTGACACACCACATATTAAAACTTAGACTTTTCTGCTCTACAAAGGATCAACTTTCGCGAAAATCTCTATTGGGCTAGGATCTAAAAAATAGGCCGAGATGATTTATGGCTAATTTTTGTTGAATTAAATTACAATTATGATATAATTTTCATTATGAAGCATTGAAAATTATAACTTTTTCTCGTATGTACTTTTCGTTATATGAGAGGGAGTTCAAAAATTGCCCCAGCCGATCCAAAGTTATTATACCAAATTCGATTGCGGAAATACTACTACTTAGTCACTTTTGCCGACAAATTTTCAAAATTGCAATTTTTTTCATATAACGAGTTTTCAGAATAGAGCGGAGTGGTCGAAAAAGCGCTCCGATCCGAATTATCTTGAATAGCGTTCGCTCTCGGGCCAAAACACGTAACTGTACCAAATTTCATCAAAATTCCTCAAAAATTGCAACCCGTAGCTTAAATTTTTGTGGACAGACTTCGGACGAGCAAACAGACAGACATGAATCTGAATCGATCGGTATAATGAAAGGTTAAGGAACAACTCAAAATTAATCTGGTACTTTGATCTTAGTTGTGGCGAGTAGTCAGTCAGTAAAGGGTTGACACTTATCGAGTCGCGAACGCATCCACTAGGGTGCGGCCACTTGGCCCCTATTTCCTTCTTTCTCTTTTCTCCCTTCTTCACCTGCTCAGTGGTTGGTTCTGTCACAAAAGAAAGAAAAAATTTGAGTAAATCGGTTATGCCGGTTGACCTTGATAAGCTTGCGCGCTGATCGCGAATCATACTTTCAGAATAGCAAAGTTTTTACGCGGGGAGCATACCAAGCGACTATTAAGCGGTTCCTCGTCAATTATTAATTGATTTATAGACGAAGGCGGACTAATGTTTATTTGGACGCTGAGCAGTTCTTAATTGATCGAGAGTCATTTGAGGATCCTTGAGGAGCCTTTGATTAAATCGATCTTATCGACCAATTAAGGAGCAATTGTTTATCGTAAATTAACTTGTAGCAGGTTGTGAGATTACGTTAGCTTGACTGCGCACAGGCTTGTCAAAATTCATGACAAGACGTTTATAGGACGCGACGGCCTAATGTGATGCGAATAATTTGATAATAGCAAGGACTTGAATAAATCCATCATAACGAGTGATTATGGATCTGGATTGATGCCAGCCTAATAATAACTTGACCAGGCAGCACTTCTTAGTTGGTCGAAAAATTTTACAATTTCAAAAATTTTAGAGAGTTGATCATGAAGCCGCTTATTCTTTAGATTTCTTGTAGGAATTTTCTGTGATTGTTGAACACATAAAGGCGTGCAATTACACAAGTATGCCAAACGAGAGAAGTGTTTTGAAAATTAATGTAAAAAAAATTGTTAAATTTTTGTATTGAGTTTGAATTGAGACAATTCTCGTTAGACTCAGCACACAAATCATTTGACTGTATAGTCTCAAGGCGGAAGGAAACCTGCATCTTAGAAAAGATTCTGCCGAATTGCCAAAACTCAGTAACGAGTTAAATATAATAATTGATAATGAAAATGAATAATTGATTAAATTCATCATTCATTATTTTGATTATTAGCAAAAAAGAGCAAAATTGAAAAAAAAAAAGGAAGAATTTTACTTTACAGTATCGTACACAGGCGAATCTAAAGTGAATGAAGTGAAATTGACTGGTGTTTCTTTTACATTTCATGCGGCGTAAAATTTCATAGATTCATTTTACATCTGTACTCTTTCATATTTATGCTGATTAATGCAAATTGTTTATTTCAAATTCTATTGATTTCCTTTTATTGATCTTTACCGGCATGATATTTAATAATGCTGTCAATACTTTGTCTTGCTTACTTCTAACGACGAGACATCCTTTGGTGTGATTTACGAGTCAATTTCATTCATTTCTTTTCAGTGAAGCAAACCAGTGCATTTTCAATAAGAACGTTGATGGGCGCATAGTCCCCAAGAAATGGAAATATATTGAAAGTTTTCATTTTTTTCAAGGATAGATAATTCCATCCCTATAATAGAGTTGGCGTGAGTGATGACCCAATTTACGGAATTAATACCAAGAATATAACACATCGATGAATAAGTTTCTTCTTCTTTCTTAGCTTCTTTCTAAGAAAAAAATTGTCTACCCTTGTATACACACACACACACACACACACACATGTTCATATTTTATGTCATTTCGGTCGCTTGTCTCGCGACATTAGTTCTTTCATTTTTAAAAAAATTAAAAAATTCGAAATTTTTCAAATCAAACATTGGTTTGAAGAGTGTTACACTAACTCTTCTCTGGCGAAAACAACAAAGTCATACGGATAACGTTGATGGCGAAAAAACTTTAGAAATGAGAGTGAAACATGGATCTACCACTGTGCACCTGAAGCGAATTAAAACCTTTCCGAATTGAAGGGATCATATGAAAGCCTTGCGAAGCGAACAAAGCCGAACGGCAAACTTATGATCGTCGTATTTTGGAATCTAGATGCTATTCCACTCATCAACTATGCTGCTTCTGCACCTCTAATTATAGATGATGTCATGGAAAAGTTGGATCTTCAAAGATACTTTGGAGGAAAAGTTAAAGAGAAAATTACAGAAGGAAATCGACAATACCATCATCAGCACTGCTCTTCTGTTAACCCTCAATTAACTCCACCTTTTATGTCCAACAAAGGATGAGAAAATCAAGATCCAAACATTTTCGAGAATACGCCTTGGTCATACAATTGCAACTCACCAATGGATCTAGAAGAAGTCTTTCTCCCCAATCTACAGTTGTGAATAAATTCTCGCTATAAAGCATATTCTCTGTGTCTACCTTAACTTTACCTTGGCTAGAAGTATTGCATTTGCAACGATTAACCTTATGGACATTCTACAAGCAGTCACAGAACAGATTATCAATATTACTTTATCAAAACTACTACTAGGCTCAATATCAAATGTACTTTTGTAAATTAGAGCCAATAGCCTATGTGTTGCTAGTGCTTAATGTCTTTTTCCTTTTAGTCTAAGATTTTATTTCATTAGTCTAAAATTATAATAATAATAATAATAATACTCATCAACTACCGTGAAGATGTATGTATATTTTCGTTCCATTAAAAAAACAGAAAACGGCCTCAAATGACGAAGAAATTGCATTAGACAGACTGGTATGGATATCTTCACAAAATCAAAAGTTATAAGCGAAAATTATTGGTGTTAGTTCACGATCTCACTTTCTAAACTACGTAAATAGATCAGAACTATTTTCTAGCCTTAGGCTCTTTACCGATCAATAAGCGTTTCCCTGAAGTTTATTGCGACCATTAGAATTCCACCAAAAAGGAGGAATCAAAATGTTCCTTTTTGCTAGTGATAGGTGAAAATCAGCAGCTCGTCGAACTCTAGACCATACGAAGGCTTATGATTCTGGATATCGAGTAATTTTTATGATGAAAAGATTTTTGATTCGATAGTAAAAAAAAAATTCACACTTTATCGTTAAATCCTTATAGCGAGTCCATAATTATCAGTTGTCGAGTTTTGTCGTTATCAAGAACTATAAACCGATACCAGCATTGAAGCATCGATTAGAGGTAATTCAAGCTTTTTTTATAAAATTGAAATCATAACAAAATTTTGGAAAATGACAAGCCTTACAACGGATTCATTGACTCACTCAAAAGTTGACAAGAATCGAGGTAACGCATTCGGCAGGTATTGTATGAAAAACTCATTCAATCATTTTTAAAAATATTATAAAGATTTTATTTAAAATTCATAATTCTTCAAGTTCAAAATCTTATAAAAATGTCTCGAAAACGATAATTTTGTGTAAAAAAATTAAAAAAAAATCACTTCATGTGTTCGATCTTTATGTACGCATGCATATCTACGCATAAGCCGATAGATATACAATAAAATGTCTTTAATATTTACATATAAAATATTTTCATATATACTAGAAAGAGAGAGAGATATATATATATATATTGTATGTATATGTTCACACCAGGGATTGGTGATGATCGTGAAAATAGTAAATATTTAATGTTTTACTTTGTACCAGATAGTAAAAAAGATGGCACATGTTTTCCCTTTTTTTTTTTTTTTTTTTTTTTTTTTGGGAAAAAGACACAAGTACTCAGTTCATGTTGTTTGCTTATTTTATTTATTTTATGATTTTATATTTTGTGTTATTTGTATTGACCAGGTACTAGGGTTTTGTTAAGAGATAAATTATCTCTGAGGTTTTATGCGATTTAACGCGTGCAAGCGCGTCTCTGCGTTTATTGTACGAGTATTCTTAAAAATTCTTCTATTCTTATATCCTTGTAGGAACACAGCTAGGCCAGGCCGAAGATTTTATTATTATTTTCTTCATTTTTTTCAAAAAGATTTAAAAAAAATTAATTTTCATCAATATCCGTAAAGGTAAGGATACATGGGTAGAAAAAGAGTGGGTGCCATTTGACGTTCCTGGGGCATATGAGTTTTTGTATGTTTCTTGAGGTGATCGCGTCTACCGAATTTCTTGCCACACGTTGCGCATGGATATGGACGCAAGCCCGTATGTATGCGTTTGTGTCGCGTTAACTCTTCGTTGCGCGTAAATGTTTTACCGCAAGTCTCGACGTCACACTTGAAAGGACGTTCGCCCGTATGTATGCGTATATGACCCTTGAGTTGTCCATTATTCGAGAAGGCTACTTCGCAATGAGGACACTTGAATTTTTTCGGTCGCTGTTTGCGTGCATTAACAGCCTTAACTTGGGCGTCCTCGGCCATGACTCGAGCATATTCGTGTTCCATTAGACTTAAAGTGGCATATGATTCCAAGCCATAACCCCGAGCCGGATTAGTATGAGGGGTAGCGCCCACAGCAGGCATGATATTAACTGAAGCAGAAGCAGCAGCGGCGGCGGCGGCAGCAGCAGCAGCAGCAGCGTAATAAAATTCATTGGTTGAAGGAGAAGGCATGCTAGGTATCAGTGGCATTTGCGGCGCTCTTACTATATTATGAGGTTCGATATTGTTATATAAATATGGAGGAACATTGTAAGCGGCAGAATTGGCCGACGGCAATGTCAACGTTGTGTGATGAGCTGATCTATTATTATTTAGGGATTTGGTAGGAGTTTCCAAAGAATTTCCAGAATTTGTAAACTCTTCGATATTAGATGTACGAGAAGAGAAACTTCCAAATGAGGCACTGTCACGATCACTTTCATTACTACTAAAGGAAGAATTTGGTTCAGTTTTAATTTTACAGTTTGAGGACGTCGGCAAATCCTCTTGATATTCGGATTTAAAGTAAGGCTTATTCGTCTCATTACAGCTCGCATTGCGATTAGCTTTCCTGCTATTGTTGCTTTCATTCAGAAAGTTATTGCTGGTGTTATCCCAAGGACGGAAAAGACGTGAAAAAGTGTGCAACGGCGTTGGTGGCACCGATGTCTTCATATTTCTTAACGACATTTTTCGTTTTTCTTTCTTTTTTTAGGTTTTTCACTTTCTTCGACTTATTCAATTTGCAATAATTTTTTTCTTCGTACGCGTTCACTTCAAGATCCGTTAAGAAACTGATTTCAATCAACAATTGCTCATAATATATAAACGAATTATGCGAAGGAAAATTTCTCATACACAAGCAGGACTTTTTTTTCATTTACCTGCTACTGGTATCACAAACTGCAACAAAGTCATGGAGACATGGATAGAGAAAGGCAGAGAATGAGACAGAGAGAGAGAGAGAGAGAGAGAGAGGAAGAGAACGAGAAAGAGCGTAATCGTTTTTTGTTACCTAATGCTTATGTATAGTCCTTCCAATTTATAAGTACACACACGCGCACACGCACAAGCACACGCACACACAAACCAAAAAGCCCTTACACAAAACAACGCAGACAATTTTGAACACTTTAGGCTTTGCTTAATCATTTCGGTTAAATGTATGCTATTTTTCATCTTCATTTCATAGATTTACCGAATCCGCAAGTGTGTTAAATATATGTGTGCGCAAATGTGTGTAACTTACCAGATTGTTCAAGCATAAGGGTGTGCAGTGTTTGCGTGTGTATATGATAGCAATAATGGCTTCCCACTTTTAATAAGTATCGCGATATCACGGCATCAGTGTACCTCATGAACACGTTTTCACTTTTATTGCAAGAAATATATGCCATATCTCCTTTTAGCGAAAATTTTAAGGAGCAGTAGTTAATAGGTTGCAAAAAAATCATTAAAAGTAAATGAGCAAATGCTTTATATTCATCATTCGTATAAGGGATTTATCGATCTAAGGATAAGGACCTGTGCAGTGCACTGCTATCTTCTACAAATTTCAAGAAATCACACAGAGGCCAATTAAAAAATTTGGAAAGAAGCGGAACGAACTAAAGAGAAAGAATACAAATTTCATCAAATTTCGTGGCATAGTCAAAATCCTTAGGTCTTAAAATAAATTATTGAACAACGTTAAATCTAATCGTTTCTGCTAATTGACGCTACAACTATTTTCTTTCAGATTGCAAGGATTAGCTTTTAAGGCACAGTTGGGTAGTTTTTTTCATCTACATTTTAATTTTATTTTCAGATGCCATCCTCAATTTTCCTCATTTTATGGGTTAATGGATCAAAAAACAAAAACCCTTAACGACTTCTCACACTTGGCAGCCGCACAGCTGATCCGTTGATGAAGGCAGACACATGCCTGTTTTACGGCTTTCTAGCGATTTTAAAAGTCAAGTTGAAAATACAGACTTAGAATAAGTTATTGAACGAAACTCAATGGAGAGGTTGCTTACTACCGAGTAATGATTTAATCAAAAAAAAGGACCTTTGAAGGCACCATCATTAATTTAGTGAAAATACAGACGTAAGTAAGATCATTGATTCATTGGTTCATTTTGAAAATCTCTTCCTTGGCAGTGAAAACATCACTTGATATCATAAGAGGTACGTTTTAATGCCCACTAAAGATGTCGAAGTTTGAAAACGATTTAATCAAATGTTTTTATTTAGCAAAATTCCAGACTTAAGATAAATGAGCTAAATGAAGTTCACTATAAATGACTTTTACAATTGATTGATGCTCGATGCTTGATATGATACTAAAGAAATCTGTTCAAGCAAAGCATTCATCTTGGAGGATTCGGAAAGTATAGTAGTGCAAGAAACTGCAGCTAGGTCATTGACAACACTTCAGTATAAGGGCATCTTCTGTAATAATCGTTGTGTTAATCATTTTCACAAAAATTGCTTCTAACCATAGGTAAGGCTCTCCAGCCATTGTAAAAGTCGTTAAGCAATTCAGTTAAATGCTTTCGTTTAATGCAAATTCAAATCAATTCAATTAAGATAAATCGTAGATAGATCAGATTTCAGATAAATCATTAAATACAATTCATTCTAGAGGTTCTTTGATAAGTGAATTGATTTTATTGAAACTATTGGAACTAGCGCTCAGTTCCAAATACCGTGAGACTTTAACTAAGAGACTAAAATAATAAATTTCTTTGGCACTTTGTGTTTGCATTTCAACGCAACCTATGCAAATTTCTAGGTCAACATCGTAGACGAAGTTGTACTATTTGAAATTCTTAATCAAGGCTGTGAAAAAAAAAAAATAATTAGCAGTGCGAAGGGGGTTTTACGGTTGCCGGAATTTCTTTAGTCAAAGTTCTCTTTTAATGGAGCAAAGCTTTAGAGAATAATTTTCATATATAATTTTTATTGAAATAACCCACTGTTGCATTTGCTTATCAACCAAAGCAAAAAAGGAATGCAAAAACAAAAAAAAGTTCTCAAGCTTTCTTTATTGTAAAAGCAACATAATTGTAAATAATGTGTTCAGAATACATTTTAAGTGAAATAGTTTCTAGTTCCTGTCATCAGCGAATACAAAAGAAAGAAAAATTTCAAAAAAATTCAACGAAATCTACAAACAATTCTCTCCTTTGGTTGGCCTTTTCACGGCGTTAGTTATTAACCACCATCATCACCATTACTACCAGTTAACTAATCAACCACCCCTTAATGTAAATCTACGAAACAAAAGTTATTTCATATTTTTAGCCTCTTTGATTGTATGTTTAGATATATATGTGTGTTCATAATTCGGAAAAAAAAAAAAAAAAAAAAAAAAAAACAATGAAAATAAATATAAAAACTGAATTTTACGCTTACCTCCGGACAAACCCTCCCGAAAGCAGTTTTCAATGTAGAGAGAACGTTACAAGAGGAAAGCATGGAAGACCTTCCTCCATATTTCTTCTTTTTTTTTTTTGTTTGTTATACGCATCCATGATTGCCTGTATGGGTAAGCAAGTATATTTAGGATACAAAAATTTGTCATTGTAGGCCAAGCGTAGGCTTTTAATAACATTCAAACTTCGTGCATGAGGACGCTTTCAAGTTAATGGTGTTGGAAGTTTCTCGTCGCTTATACAATTCGATGAGGAAACTCTCTAGTGAATTGAAAACGCGCCCTTAATGCTTAGCGGGTTTCAAATCCATGTTATTCGTATCGTTTTTCCTTTTTTTTTTGTTTTTTTTTTGTTTTTTTCCTTTTCTTTTACGTGTCCTCCGTATGTAAGTATTATCAATAAATTTTGTATTGATGATGAAAGCACTGAGATTTGCTCATTTCGGCGGTGAATGTTGGGTGTAAGCGAAATTTTTATTTAAGAAATTAGAAAGGAATTGAATAACTTTGTAGGCTTTTTCTTTGAACTTTTCCTAAGGGTGGTTTATGTCAAGTTTCACATTATCTATCCCATTCAAATTATTATTTTTTTTCTTAGTGAAAAATGAAATCGTGTATCTTAACTGAAGCACAAGACATTTGTGTTATGCAAAATGATTAAATTAAGCAGCAAAAGCCTTTTTAGACGAAGTGAATACTTTTGTAAGGAATTTTTTTTTTTTTGGTTTTTTTCTTTTATGCAATATTGTGATAACTTTTCCAAATCTAGTAATCCTTGAAACCTTCATATGTAAGCGAAAACGATTTATAAGATTACATAGCTTCAAGTTATTATCGGGGCGTATTTCCAAGTGTGGAGTCCAAAGTTTACAATTCTCTCTTTTTCATACTCTGTGTCATCTGTGATTGAGGCACATTAAGTTTAGGCGAACATGTAAGCAACACTTCGTATGCAAGTACAGATAGACCCACTTCTCATTATATCAATGGGGTTGGGGTAATGGCTACTTGTCACTTATACTTTTTGAACCCGGCCTAGGTATTTTCGTATTCAATCAACACAATCTGATCTTTTGATATCATGGTCTAATCGGATTGAAAACGAATTGGCTCGGACCATTGTTACGCCCGTTTCCATACCGATGCTTCCTTCCTTTTTATATGAACAACACGAAATGTCTACATTCTCGATCCACGTGAACGTTAGAGCACTTTGGGCAGCTAAAATGTGTTTAAAGTTTTTCTTCATTGATTGAAGAGCGAACCGGAAATGTTGAAGCCCGATTCATCTATTTTAATAAATATTTATATTGAATTTGAAGCCGAGCGATATCAGTTATAGCTCGAAAGTTTGTTTGCATGTATTTTGACCTGCGATTTCTACTGGTGAAAGTGCTAAAGAAATGGGAAATACCAGGGCCCTTAACGTTTAAGTTCGATGGTTTTGACCTTCCTCTACATAAGAAAATAGTTTTCTATTCAATATTATTGACTGCAAACACGGATATATGCTGCATCCAGAGCGATTTGAGATAGACCTGCCTTTTATTATACCACTCGATTCAGACCCACTTGCTGAATTGGTTAAAGCATGCCTGTCCACCTATCCAATTTATATCTAGCTATACACTATTGTGTACAAAGTACAAGTCGAATTATTGTATCTTTTTTTTTTGACTCAAGAACTAACCTTTTTCGAAAACGTCTCGGATCTTATCGTAGTCTTAAGAAAAATATCCAATTTTGAAGAAATGGTAAGAGAAGAAAAAATTTTTAATTTTTTTTATATTTCGTCTAAAATCAGTCAAAAATAGTATATCGGCTTAGTCAATCAATGTGGAGAATTTGAATCGCATGAAGCTACTTTTTGACCTTCTATCCATATTAATGTTCTTTGAAAAAATTAATCTTCTTTCAATTAAAAAATTGTGATCCAAAATAGTAATCTGGCTTTCTAATGCTAACATAGGGCCATCTAGGTGGATTTCTCGATCTTATTCCTAAGAAGCGAAGTTTTGTATGCTGGCAATGCTTGCTGCCTATTTAAGTCAGCTGATAATTAATAACAAAGTTTTTTAACAAAAAAACTTAATTGCATTAAACTTGAAGCACTGGACTTTCTTTCATATAGCACTCTTTTCCAAAAGTCATTTTCGTACCGCTGAAAATCCTCAGATTTTATTAAATCCTTAATTTTCGATTGCCGTGGGCGAAATAAGCAAATACGAGAGTAGAGTATTGAACAATCGACGTAGGTCCACCGCAACGCTTTAACTTATATCATTTTAGTAAATTTCTTCATATTTTCTTCTTTTTTCATTTCATGCAACAGCAAGCAAATACCAAGCATACCCTTTATGCAGATAGTTGTAAAAA